GGTGCCTATGTCCAGTACTCCTAACACTAATGATTTGCAGTAGGGAAAGCAGCCAATTGCCTACACTAGGAGGGCAAAACAAGTTATTGATTCACCCCTGGACCAAGAAGTCTCCCTCGATCCAGGTAATTCCTTAGTTGACATTGATACTCCTCATTCTTTTCCTAATAGCATTCGTGTTGATCTTGATATCCCTATTGCCTATCGTAAGGGTGTTCGTAGTTGTACAAAGCATCCCATATCTCAGTTTATATCCTATTATGCCTTATTTCCAACATATTGTGCTTTCACTTCGTGTATCTCCTTTGTATCTGTTCCTTCTAGTGTTTCAGATGCTCTCAGTCAAACTCCATGGAAGAAAGCTATGCTTGAAGAAATGAAGGCCCTTGAGAAGAATGGTACTTGGGATATTGTTCCATTACCTAGGGCTATGAAACCAGTAGGCTGCAAATGGGTCTACACAATAAAGTATCATGCAGACAAAACAATTGAGAGATATAAAGCTCGGTTAGTTGCAAAGGGCTTCACTCAGACCTATGGAATTGATTATCTAGAAACATTTGCTCCAGTTGCCAAGATGAACTCTATACGTGTCCTTCTTCTTTGGCAGCTAATTTGAATTGGCCCTTACATTAGATGGATGAAAAGAATGATTTCCTTTATGGTGAATTGGAGGAAGAGGTGCATATGACTATGCCACCAGGGTTTAAGCTTGTTAATGGTCAGAATTTAGTGTGTAAGCTAAATAAAGCTTTGTATGGGTTAAAGCAATCGCCACATGTTTGGTTTAAGAGGTTCAGCATTGTTGTGAAAAGAGTAGGTTACACACAGAGTTATACAGATCATACTCTCTTCATCAAGAAGCAACAGGGCTGCACCACTTCCCTTATTATATATGTTGATGATATTGTTATCACTGGAAATGATCCAAAAGAGATTTGTCGAATGAAGTCATTCTTGGGACAGAGTTCGAGGTTAAAGACCTCGGATCATTGGATACTTTCTTGGTATCGAGGTGTGTAGATCGAAGAAAGGGGTGTTTATTTCTCAACGGAAGTATGTTTTAGATTTGTTGGCTGAAACAGGTAGGCTTGGAGCTAGACCGATTGATATTCCCATTGAGCAGAACCATAAGCTTAATGATGTAAATGGAGACCCATTAGATGATGTGGGAAGAATTCAGCGATTGGCTGGGAGATTGATTTACTTATCTCTCATGCGCCCAGATATTGCCTACGCTGTTAGTGTGATTAGTCAGTTTATGCATGCTCCACGTCCACCTCACCTAGAGGCAGCTCATCATGTTCTTCTCTACCTCAAGGGTTCACCTGGTAAGGGGATATTGTTTGGCAGTCATGGCCACTTGCGTGCTGAAACCTATACTGATGCTGATTGGGCAGGGTCTGTGACAGATCGATGATCTACTTCAGGATATTGTACATTTATTGGAGGTAATCTTGTTTCATGGCGAAGCAAGAAATAGTATGTAGTAGTTAGATCTAGTGCCGAGGCTGAGTTCAAATCCATGGCACATGGAGTTTGTGAGTTGTTATGGCTACGTACGATGTTGGGTGAGTTGGGTTATCCTGTTCGCGAGTCAATGAAGTTGTATTGTGACAACAAGGCTGCTATTAGCATTGCCCACAATCCAGTTCAACATGACAAGACGAAGCACATTGAAGTCGATTGACACTTCATCAAGGGAAAGCTTCGTCTTGGGCTGATTTGTACTCCATACGTCAATACACATGAGTAGGTTGTTGATGTTTTGACTAAGGGTGTGAGCAAGACTTGCTTGCAAAATATGTTATTACTTATATAATGTTGGGGCTTATTTGTAATTTTTGAAACTTGTTATTATAAATAGAATGTGTTGGAAGGATGAAAGTATTCTTTCATTCTTTCTCTCTTTCCCCATCGCTTTCTTCTCTTTTTCTTCTTCCTCTTTATCACTTACTTTTGATTTGATTATATCTTAAAGTCAACAGATATGTGTGGTCTGCATTGCTAATTGGAATAGCGTTGAGTTGTGTAGAATGACCACAAAGGAAAAAAGAAAAAAAGAAAACAAAAAGAAAAAGAGAATCCAGTACAACTTAATATTTGCTGGGTCATGGATGCTTTTAACTTATTTGGTCTGTAATTATTTTATTTGCAAGTTTTTTTGACATTGTTAACAACCATCTACTGTCTTTGAGGCGAGGTTTAGTTTTTCTCCTTTGCTTCAATTTTGTGGTTGGACAGCTACATTTGTGCATGATTAATTATTAATTAATTTTTTGTTTCTTGTCAAATAGATAAAGGAAACTCTTGTTGTAGGAGAATACCTAAAGGCTCATAATATTTTTGAAATATCCAATTTGTTTATAGTTATAGTTCAACAATGAGGATTTTATGTTAAAATTTCCTTTAGAATCTTTGGTAATGGTTAACAAGAATATATTATTCACTTTTTGTTTTGTTATGTTCCAAAGTTCATCTGTATCACGGATCATTTGTTTTAGGATTTGTGTCTCAAATTCTATCAATAATTAGGTTTCTATTTTAGAGTTGTTTATATGGTAATTTCTTGGTTGGCAAGTCTTTGGCCTTTAAGTAATTTCTTGTCTTGGGCTATAAGGAAACATAAGTCTTGGCTTCTAAGGAATTAGGTTTGGAACTCTATAAATAGTGGTGGAGTTGAGGGGAGAAGGTAGAGAAGAAAAAGAATGGAGGAGTGAGTGAGAGAAGAGAGTGGGTCAGAGTAGAGAGATGCAAAATAAATGGGTGGGCATTCTCTACAATCGTATCTTCTCTTCTTGATTCATTATCGTAAAATTTCTTCTCTCCATGGACATAGGTCACTCGAACCACATAAAATATTGTGTTGCATGTTGTATTATTATTATTATTATTTTTTGTGATTGTATCTCCATATTAGTGATGTTATTTGTTTCCGCGGTGCCGAACGAAGAGGGTTTAATTCTGAACAAGTGGTATCAGAGCTGATGGTTTTGTCTGGGGGAGATCAGAGCTGAAGGTTTATTCTAGATATTTTTCCATAGCCGAAGGTTCATCCTGGAGAGTTTGTTAGAGCTGAAGGTTTGTCCGGGACAGTCTGTTAGAGCTGAAGGTTGGTCGTTGGGAGTTTGTCATAGCCAAAGGTTGGTCGTTGGGAGTTTGTCATAGCCAAAGGTTGGTCGTGGGGAGTTTGTCAGAGCCAAAGGTTGGTCGTGGGGAGTTTGTTAGAGCCGATGGTTTGTGCAGGGGAGTTCGACAGTTGGTTGATTGATAATCTAGAAAACACAATAAGAAAATGATGAGAAGAAGAAGATTGATTTGATGATGTTCAGGTAAGCTGGAGAATCTGATATGGTAATTTCTTGGTTGGCAAGTCTTGGCCTTTAAGGAATTTCTTGTCTTGGGCTATAAGGAATTTCTGTTAGGCAAGCCTTGGGCTCTAAGGAAACATAATTCTTGGCCTCTAAGGAATTGGGTTTGGAAATCTATAAATAGAGGTCGAATTGAGGGGAGAAGGTAGAGAAGAAAAAGAATGGAGGAGTGAGTGAGAAGAGAAGAGACTGGGTGAGAGTAAAGAGATGCAAAATAAATGGTGGGCATTCTCTACAGTTGTATATTCTTTTTCTTGATTCATTATAGTAAAATTTATTCTCTCTGTGGACGTAGGTCGAGTTTGGCCGAACCACGTAAAATATTGTGTTGCATTTTGATTGGATCTCTATGTTTGTGATGTGATTTGCTTTTGTGGTGCCAAACGAAGAGGGTTTAATTCCCTACAATTTGGATGATTGTAACATTTTGTGCCCGTGAACTAACAATTATACGAGCTAGGTTTTGGAAACATTTCCCAAGTGGCAAATTTTATATCTAGAGTTGATATTGCACAGGTGATTGATGTGTTTTTGCCCATTGTTGGGAGTAGGTGGTTGTAGTGGACGTGCTCTTATAGCTTTACCAATCAGTTTGAAAAGGGAAATTTAGTAGAGAACAATATGTTCTGCAATTATTATGATGTGTTGTCTCGGTGATTAAGAAACAATGTATGTTTGCTAATCAAGAAATAATATGTGCACAAATGATGCTGGATGCAGAATTTAAGTAAGATTGTTGATGATGAATGGTCATGTAATATCCTAGCCTGTTTGATTGCCAAGATGTATAACTGTTTGAGTTGAGAGGAACCGTTGGATTTTAATATAATGTTTATAAGTTATACAATGATTTTATTTAACTAAAAGTGTATGCTTTGATTAGATGACTGGATGGTGTGTTAAAAATTGATGCCGCTTTTTGATTGTTTAGTATCTGTGGATGTTCAATTTTTCAAGAAATGCAAGTTATTCTCAGTGAACAGCACAAAATAGGAAACTTTTCGAAGAAGTAGGTTTTGTAGAAACTTAAACAGGTGCTGAGCAATTTCTTCCGTCTTGCACATGCTACAGTGTGACAGAGAGAGCTTGATGGAACCAAGTAGATCCAATGTTGCTTAAATGCTCTATTACCCTATAGAGTTTTGAGTTTCTCGACTAGATTAAAATATGAGGTGACTTAGTTGTCTTGACATAATTAGGTGCTTCCTTGGTTCGATATAGCTCCATGATACAAATGCAGTATTACATCAATGAAAGATGTCTATTTTGTTATTTATAATGTGCATGACTGCGAAAACAGAAATGAAACGGGATATGTTGTATATAATAATTTTTTACACCTCCTTTATAAGATCATTGCATATCCTTTTTAAGATTAACCTCTTTCCTTTACAATGCCAGTCAACATGATGCAATTGCCTTGATAAAAAATGATAGTCTATGGTAATTTTGTGGTTATTGACTGGAACATGAAGATGCTATGAGAGTACATTATTGGCGGTTTCTATTTTCATGTCATATAATGATATCTCTGAGAATTTCTCTATTTCCTTTAGTTCCTGTCATGTCAATGGATGGATATTTTCCTTATAAAGAATGGTTCTAATGCTTGATATTTTTCCATTTCAGGGATGGGCGAAGGGGTCAATCTGACGCCACTGACAGGATGGCCTCCGATTGTAAGTGTCATCCTAATCTGTTGTCTGAAACCATTTCAGCTGCTGTTGCACAATCTGATCTAGTTGTTCTGCCTAACATCAATGTAAATGCTAAGTTCATTATGTTCATCTCTTCTCAGGGAGTTGACCAAATTCCCCATGGATTAGCGTATCAAGTACTAAATTCATTTTTACCAGTGCCAAACGAACACCAAAATTTTCAGAAGCCTGCTGCTCATCATCAAGATATTTTAGCTCCAGTAATGGCACAAACACCAGGGAAGCCAACATCTTATTTTCCTGGAAGCACTAGTAATTTGAGTACTATTATGCCTCCCACGAATGAATTAAGTGGGAGAAATGGGCATGTAAGTTAAAAATATTGACTTCCTTCTTTCAACCAATTTCTTCCTCTATTTTTGCAGCAGTGTCCAGAAGGGGCGTATCTTCACAATGATGAGATAGATATTGTTTAGTTCCTTTTTTATTTTTTATTTTTTCCAAAGAGGAAACTTTTGATATACATGTTTTGTGTTGCGCGATGTTTTTTACTTGCATGCATCTCTATATACCCTCAACATGTATATGTAACATCACATTGTTATTTTATTTGTGTTATTATTATTGTTGTTGTTGTCGTCGTTGCCATGTTCACATGTATTAGCAAGGCTATAGATATATAGCATTTGGAAGATTTGAGGCCATGATGTTAGACACATAATCTTCACGTTGATGTGTATTCTTGTTGCGTTATAATAATAATAATAATAATAATCATAATAATAATAAACACCTTTAAGCTTGTTGCATACTCTTTTGTCGTACATTAGAAGGAATTAGTTAAAATAATTCCACATTACTTCTCCTTGTGAAACAACATATGCATAATGTGAGTATGGCAGAAATGCTAATGCTGCAATCAAGACAAGAAATGATAGAATCATAAATGAGCACATTTGTGAAATGGTTGATGCAACACCAATTGAAGATAAATTGAGAGAAAATCGATTAAGATGGTCTGGACATGTAAAAAAGAAGATCCTGAAGTGCGCTAGTCAGAAAGAGTGACACAATCCACATAGAGAATAATACTAGGGCATGAGGAACACCAAATTTAATGCTGGCAGAGTTAGTAAGGGAGGATATGTTAACATGCGGTTTGACTGAAACTATGGCCTTGGATAGAGCGGAATGGAAAAAATGAGTATGTAGCCGACCCTGTTGGGAATAGGCTTTATTGAGCTGAGTTTCTGGTCTTCTGCTGGATGCATTCAATTCAAAGCATTAAATTTTCTAATAGCTTGACTTCAAATGAAATGGGAGATACATTAAAAGAAAAGAATTGATTGTTGTGATGTGTCCCTCTTGAGTACATTATCTTAAAAATTAGCGGTTAGAGAACGAAAATTTGACTTCTGATTTTCTTTAAGCTTGTAGTCATGAACAAACCTATTCAGCTTCTTTTATTTTTATATTAAAGTAAAACTATCATATTGCTTTTGTTGCTAGAGGAATGTATCTTGTATATGAATTTCCGAAAAGTTATACTAGTAATTATTATTACTTTAATAATAATATTTTCCATTATTATCATTATCATTATTATGCACTCATTCGTTATATATAGTTAGAGGGAGAGAGAGAGAGACTTAATTGTTTCCAAATGTTAAGTTGTTTTTAAATGGCTTAGTTGTTATCAATATAATTTCAGAACCTCGTAAATGCTATATTTGCTAAAAAGAGGCCATTATCAAGTGTTTATCTTCTTTATCTGTGGTGCCTAAATGGGTGTTGGGTGGATATCTTATTTCTAGCTTTATTTGGGTGAAGTGGTTGCACTCAATCCTGCACACTTGTCTTAATGCTTGACATCCTATGAGTTTCCCGTCGCCCTAAGAGATAGCCCCTCCTGATATATTTTTGAGTTGACATACTAAGACCATTAAACTTGAAAGTACTGCGGTTGAGAGCTGTTTCAGAAATAAAATTGGTGTTGAGAAGAAACTTTGTGAAAACTATGAACTGGCTATTGTAGGAGTTTCTGATTCTCTTTTCTAACGTGGTTTTTTTCAGTTATTGATTTCCTATTTTGGCGGTTATTTTCCTCTAGAGTCTATTATTTGCATTTTGGATTTGGATTCTACATTACATTTGTTCCAGCGTATCTTATTTACATGAAATTTTTCTGAATGTTATTATGTGATTTAGGAAATTGAAATTTTGGGTTGGTAACTCTATGGGGAAAATGTTATGTAGTTGAGAAACAATATCTTTTAAGTCGAGCATGCCTGAAATTTAAATATTGAGATGAATGTATGACAAGATAAAAAAGGTTAAATTTAGAAATTAATATTAGACAGTAGATGTGGTTCTAATTGGATTTATAATGAGAGAAAACTGGCTAAGATAATTTGGCCATCTGCAAACAGCAGTATAAGAAAATGATTGGTTCACTTGGACAATAAGGCTAAAGACAATAGACCACATTAAAATGGTAATTGTTAACAAGCATCTACTCCAAAAGCTTAAGCTGTTGGAGAGGGTGTAACTTAAATATATAAATCCTTCAACAGTAATCATAGTAACATGTAGCTTAAGTAAATGATCCTAGGCAGCATAGTTATGAAATATGAATTATGTGACCCAAATAGTTGGGATAGGGTTTCATTAAGTTGTAGTTAATGTTTATGGGCTAGGTTGATATAGGGAATGAAGAATTCTTCAAAGAACTAATTACAAGAGAAATTCAGATATGATTATGAACTATGAATGTTGTTATTTGGGACTGGAGATCAGTTGTTAAGCTTGATGTTGTGCTTGTTTGCTTCCTTTTCAAGTTTTGGTTGGTAGGTTACATTGTCTGGTGGTTAGGAGGTTCACCCATGCTACCTACGGTTAGCAATGAACTTGAGCTTTCTAACATCTAGTAACTATGTAGTACTAGTTAGTGCTTTTGGTTGGGGGGCGGAGCAATGGGGATGTTTATTATTACACTATTGCTTGTTAGGCCTCAGTTGAGTAGAAGCATGGATGTTTATTCATTTATGTAATTCTAAAAAGCCATCCCTCAAAAGTTCCATTATTACTTGATACTCTGATTAGAGTATTGGACTAAATTAACAATTCCAGTTTCTCCATCAAGGGACCATTGCCATGTACTATGCATGTGCATCGGGACACATTATAGCACTAACCAGAATATCATTGGCCTTAATTGACATTTCTTCACTTTTTCTTCTACAATTGTTTACCTATGGAAACAATATATTCTAGGTTTATAAAAAAAATATGGTAGTTTAATTCTAGAATAATAGGGGTAAAAAAAAATTTCTAGCAGTATGAAAAGATTTGTTTATTCAGGAAAAAAGAAGAAGATTTGTTCCCAAATGTCATACATGATGTTGTGCCAAGACTTACTCTTGAGTCATACATTGGTTGATGTTGAATCTTATTCCATTAGTTGAAGACTCGTTTCCTTTCTTTGAAAAAATATGTAGCTAGGTAAACAATGACTTTGAAAGAAAAAGAGAGAGACGAGGTATCATAAATAAATAATTGTTCTGATGGAACCTTCTTTTCTACTGTAGGTTGGTCGTAGATACACGATGCAAGCCATTATTCTTTTCCATTCATTATTGTTAGAAGATGTTATATTTGGAAAATATTATTATAGGAACCCTTAAATTACTCCTTAATAGAATATTTGATATGAGAATATCATAGGAGAGATTCTAGCCTATGATAGAATATTAATTAGAGTGATTTATGGTATTGATTTTAGGAATCTTCCATTAATGTATTTTCCATATTTATCACCTCTATTCTTTCACCTATAAATAGAGGTGATCATTGTATACAAAGATTAAGATAGAATATATTATAAAGTGATGTAGCCCTTTGGGCTCTTTGTGCTGTGGATGTAGGCCCTAGTGGCTGAACCATGTAATATCCTTGTATTCTTCGTGTTTCATTTCTTTCTTCACTTCTGTTTTATGCTTTACAACATGGTATCAGAGCCTAATTTTCTTCCTAGGTTCGGACCCCTATTTTGGGGTATTCCCTTAGCATCTGAAATGTTGCTAAGGGTTTCTCAGTGCTATTTGTGCCTTGTTTGGGTTGCCGATTTGTTCGGCGGTAATGTTTTCGTCTTTGTCATATCTTCGGTAGTTTTTATTGACTTGTTTGGGTTGTCGATGTGTTCGGTAGCATAGTTCTTCACCTTCGCCATGTGTTCAGTGATATTTGGACTTGTTTGGGCTGCCGATGTGTTCGGTAGCATTGTTCGTCACCTTCGCCATGTGTTCGGTGCTATGTGGACTTATTTGGGCTGCCGGTGTGTTCGGTAGCATTGTTCTTCGCCTTTACCGTGTCTTTAGCAGTTTTATTGTCTTTTTCCAAATGGTTGGAAAATGATTTGTTTCATGATTTGATATGCAAGCTTAGCGTTATTTCCATATAGCCTTCCGCTTGAGGGGGAGTGTTAGAAGATGTTATATTTGGAAAATATTATTATAGGAACCCTTAAATTACTCTTTTACAGAATATTTGATATGAGAATATCATAGGAGAGATTCTAGCCTATGATAGAATATTGATTGGAGTGATTTATGGTATTGATTTTAGGAATCTTCCATTAATGTATTTTCCATATTTATCACCTCTATTCTTTCACCAATAAATAGAGGTGATCATTGTATACAAAAATTAAGAGAGAATATATTATAAAGTGATGTAGCCCTTTGGGCTCTTTGTGCTGTGGATGTAGGCCCTACTGGCTGAACCACGTAATATCCTTGTGTTCTTCGTGTTTCATTTCTCTCTTCACTTCTGTTTTATACTTTATAACAGTTATTATCTTTATCACTATTATAAAATTAAATGATCGGACCAAATACAAATAGTTAAAGTAAAAGAATGAATCCACTCTTAGGAATCATTATATCTTATAAATGATTGTTATGATGTATCATAGAAATCCTTTGAAAGGAAATAATCAAATAATTTTTGGCGGCGGAACAAAATCTCTCTCATTTCCCCCTCGAATAGATTCTTCTTTTTGGTTTCCGAAAGAAAGTTGTTGTGTTCCTTCGAATATAGTACCAACATATGTCATCACCCAGAAGAACGTTCTTTTTCAGGCCTTTCACCAATCGATACGACCAAGCAAATTTTGTTAAAACTCGAGCAGTATCTTGAAAACTCATTTTAGATATGAAACTTTTGAGTATTCAGAGATGCTCTTGTCATTCCCAGCAAGATGGCTCGGTAACAAATCACTTCTTCCAAAGCAGGCGGTATTCATTCCTCTTGCAACAATCCAATTAGTTCTTTAATTGAAACAAACTCTAGACATTCCATCATTTGAATCCAACACTTTTGATGTACAATAATTACTGTATTCCTATTATGGATCTGCACTCCTTAGGATCCATAAACCTTTTGGTACTTATTAACCAAAAAGATACAACTTCGCATTATCATTAGCTTAATTTCGATTTCAAGAATAATTCATGGACTCTACTGAGTCATACTTGTTACCTGTGATGATATTTATTTGTTTTTAGTAAGTGATGGTCCAACCCATGTTTTAATGGCAATTAATCATTTTTACCCCCTTTTACTTCTCTTTAATAGTTTACTCTAACCTCTAAACTCATCCTTTATGAAGCATGGGCACTTCTACAAAGGTGACGTGTCCATGTCGGACATCGACACTTCAACTTCATGGACACTCTTGGACACATGTTCGACACTTCATGGCCGTATCCATAATTGAAAAATAATTTTTGTTATCTCACTTGGCCGACACATCTCGTACACTTGGCCAACTCATGTAAGACACTTGACCAACACATCCTACACTCTTTGCCTTATATAGTAAACACATGGCAGTTCTAGAAACAACATTATGAACATACATCATAGCGTCCAACCTCTTTTTCTTTAGAAAATTGAAATTAAATACATTTCACAAAAATAAAAGTATAATGACAAGATAGGAGAGTAATGTCTTTTTGATATTCGAATAGCTTCATCTTCTAACTTATGTAACTTTAGTATAGGAATTATAAATTAATTTAAAGTTAGTGTAACAACCCACTCCACCACATGGTATGATATTGTCAGCTTTGAGCTCGAGCCCGCTTGGTTTTGTTCTTAGGTTTACCCAAAAATGCCTTATTTCATTTGGAGTGTACCAATCCTACATATATAGTATTTCCCCTTTCCACACCCAGGCGATGTGGGATCATGCACCCGTAGCCTGCCAGTGCCTCACACCCGCCCACGCACACCTGCCCTAAAGGTCACCACAATCATCCCCACCCCCCACCCCCCCCAAGGGACCCAATGTCCTCGTTGGCCACACTTCTGGCTAGGTCATTCTCTCATGCCATTTGTAACAACCCACACCACATGGTATGATATCGTTAGCTTTGGCTCGAGCTCGCACGGTTTTGTTTTTGGGTTTTACCCCAAAAGGCCTTATACCATTTGAAGTGTATCAATCTTACATATATAACACTAACCCTTCCCACACCCAGGCGATGTGGGATCGTGCACCCGTAGCCTACTAGTGCCTCACACCCGCCTACAAGGTCGCCACGGTTATATAATTGTCTTATTGAATAAAGATTTAAATGAAAATTTATATTTATGGTAGGTGTCCATTTTTTGTTCGCGTCCTACTTTTTAAAAATTTGATATATCGGCATATCTGTGTCCTATCGTGTTTGTGTCCGTGTCATTGTCCATGCTTCTTAGCTCATCCTAAACCGTAATTATTTGAATCAAAACTTTAAAAAACATATTAAATTGTCATAGATTTTAGATCAAAGCACACCAAGTTTTAAACTAATTGGTATATTTTGAATTTTCCTTTTTCACTCAGATCTAATATAAAAATGTTGTTTGGCTCTAGATCCATAAACTTTTTTGTAGATCTTGCTCTAAATTTGTCAATCTATTTAGGAGTTTTTTCTTTCAAAGAGGTAAGTGATTTACACTTTCATATTCTTGTACAATCATGTAATAATATCTTTATGTTATAAATTGCATTAAAATTGTAGATTTTCAGTTTTTAAAATCTCATATTTTGTATCAAAAATTTTAATTTTCAAGTTTCAAAAACAAATCTGTATCAATACAATAAAAACTATAAATGTATGTGTTGTATCTTCTAATTTTTACATATTTAATTATCATACAAAAATAAAAATTTGCAGAATATATTTTGGAAAATCCGAAATTACAAAAACTCAAAAGAAATTTTTAGAAAATTACAAAAGAATACAATCTATAGATCATTTCTCATACTGAATCTCCTTTAAATAGTCATCAAAATCCTCTACAAAATATTAAAAAGTTCATATTTATAGGATTTTAAAGTTAAAAATTCTATTTCGGCTTGTGTAAGCCAAGGTGTGCGAGGTTGAAAAAAATTTCAATACCTCAGTTTCCCATACCGTTTCGTAATGCTTGTTAGACACCATGTCTTTTACACCGCTACTGCATTCGTGACAGCTAACGTGTCCGCAATTTAAAATCTTGGATTTAGTTGGATCTTTTAGGTTGTTGATGAGTTGGAGAATATACGTGATTTTTCAGAATCTCGGTTCTTAAGAGGACGGGTCTATAGGCTGGCATGCAGAATTATTTAGAGGTGAGCTTGAGATGAAAATCGAATGAGTGGGTGGAGTACAGTAAATTATTATAATATATAATATTTTCAAATGTACACTAATGGTATGGAAATTAAAGGAGTTTAATTGATCAAAAATTGAAATCCAATTCATGAGATCTTTTGGAAGATATTGAATTACTTCCATAGCGAACTTAACTAATTTACTTGGGCCTTAGAAAAGAGTGGACAGAAGTGGGAGGATAACGCTTAGCCATTTGTTAAATGGGTGGATTAGAATGATTTTTTTCTTTATGGGCTACTTGTTTGGAATGACCTTTAGATCTTGGGGATGTCAAATCGAGTGTCTTTTGACGTTAAGAAAAGGGGAGAAATTTTCGGCTCATAATTCATGCTAATATATTAAAAATCCATTGCAATGGAATAATAAAAACTACATGTATGCAACCTTGTTTCATTGATTCCTAATAAAGAAGGGCTTATAATCTAGAGGATTTTTATTCAGGACGTGTTTATGAGATCATGGATGGTGTCTTTTTTAGACGATTAAGAGACGTTCTCCACCAGAGTTTTTATATAGCAAGAGGCATTGTCAACTATTTGATTGCTAAATGAGTCTAGAAAATATTTTAAGAAGTCTAATAAAGAGGAAGAGGTGATTAAAGCCATCTTCAGATGGTTATGAGTAATTTGGCTTTAAAGTTCCTATATCTTATTGTGGGATGAAAAAGCTTTTGTTATTGAATATGTGATTTCGAACATGGATTAACATTGACTACCATTACTAGCATGACTTATATATATAAAAAAAAGACTACCATAATTAGCATGATGGTTTAAGGCTTCTGCAACCACGCCCGCTTGTGCCGGTGGGGGGGGGGGGGGGGGGGGGGGGGGGGAGTTGTGGTTATCAATTGTTACTTTTACTTTGAAGGTGGAAGTCAATACAATGTTCACTAAAAAATTCACACTAATTCTCAATTGAATTGTCTTTTTTTTTTTCTAAGGAAGGATTTTTCACCTAAAAATTTCTTCTTCTATTGGCATAATGAGGATTTGTTTACTGACCATATCCTTTAATGGTTTGACATGGTAAACATGGACATCCTGCTGCTTCCTTGCGTTCTAACATCAGTCATGCCCTAAAAGAGAATAAAAATAAATAAAATGGTATTTCCCTTGATTTTAGTCTAAGAGCTGTTGACTTATGGGACCTAGTTATTGAAACAATGAGTAGATGATTAGCTAAATGGAAAAAAGATAACATTTCCCAAGGGGTAACCACCTTAAATTTAGTTAATATTTTCTTATCCCTCATTAAATTCTTCCTACAGCATCCCATGAGTCAACACTCTCCATTAAATTTCTTCCTATAGAAGCCCTCGGGGTCCACATTGAGTGCCCTCAACGCTTGGTTGTACAATGGTTTCGCAAGCTCGGGACACTTGGAGAGTGAGCCCTTTGTGCTTGTGGTGGGGCTGTGGAGGAGATGAATAGGAGGTTCTTTAAGGAGGAGGAAACTCCTATTATGGCTTTGAAAATTTCTATTTTGAGTTTGTTATTTTTTTTGTGTCAAAAGGTTGGAATTGTAAATCTTTGGGGGAGTTTATTGACTTTGTTGATGGCTTGAAAATAAAGAGTATATGGTTGGTTGGTGAATATAGTGGTATTTTTGTGGGTGTGCTCCCTGTTTGAGCGCTTCTAATGAAATTTACTTATCAAAAAAAGGAAAAAAAAAATTCCGGGGACAGATCAGTGGAAGAGAGAAAATACAAAATAATTGGTGTTATTTTTCCCAATATTATTAGATAGAAATGCTAGGGGCTTTTTGAAGATGAGCTCAACTGTTGTGATGCTATTTGAGACAGAATCCATCTCTTAGTTATCTCTTTTGATATCCATAAAAGAAGTTGAGTAGCTTTCATTTAGTAGCCTGGAAGCCAATTTGTAATCTACATGTTGGTTTATACTCCCAAGGCCATTGCATGGTGTAAGTTGTAACCCTGGCCACTTGGTCAATGTTTGAAGATTTGTGTAGAAGCAAACCACCCATGCATAATTGAGAAAGCATTCCCATAATTTCTGAAGAAGCTCTTCTTTCCATACAAATTAATGTTTGTACTGCGTGTGAGACCAAAAGAAAGCAGCCTCTTCATATGGGACAATTTTGCATGAGTTTTTCTCCAAAAAGCTAGATCTTTATAGCTGACCACAAATGATTGATGCAAGTTTCTTACTTTGGTTGTGTATGCCTGAAATTTCACTGTTGTGAAGCCTGTTGGTCATGGTTTAATGAGTTCTTTATTCAAGGGAGGTGTCAGAAAGCAACAATATTTTTGTGCAGTTACATTCATGTTCTTGACATCTTATTATCTCACAAAGGATAAGAAATAAGTGATGTTTTTATTGTTGCTCGTGTGCGTACTGATAATCAGATCTCCTTCTGAAAAAAATTATAGGCTTTCCATCTTTCTCAGTTCTTTATCCTTATCATTTTCTGATGAGCAACTGATTTCTGATGACTTAGATGATGCCACCAATGAGACAAACTGTAGAAGAACAAATGGTGATCCCTGTGAGACAAACAGTGGAGCAACAAAGGATATTCCCTGTGAGACAAACTGCAGAGCAACAGCATAATGATCAGCTGAAGCAGCAGCAATTACATGAGGTTGGTTGGGATCACATAGACCAAAGCCATTAATTTTTGCCACAAAAGTTAGTATTGGGAGCTTCTCCCACTTGGTGAAAGGTGCAGCCAATATGTTCTTTTTTTCTTGCTTATATTTGTCTTATATTTTCTTGTTTTGGATCAGAATAGCAGAAAGAGAAAGAGTTTATCACATTCACGTGATGGAGAGAATACTTTGGTTGGTCATAACACCTCAGGGGAACTAGCCTCAGGGGAACTAGTGAGTACTCGTGCTTCATCGCATGGTTATCATATCTATGACAATTTTCATAGATCCTATCATCATTTTTCTTGGTCTTGTCTCTCACCAATACTTACTCTTCCAGCATGTATTTTCATTTTTTATGGTCTTCTCTGGCAATTTCATTTAGTTTTTTTGTCTGAACTGCAGGATGGTAAGGATGCTAAGGAAGATAAACCCTTGGATGATGATATTGACTCCTTTTTGTTCCATGATGATGACAATACTGATCCAACAAACACTACTTTCACTACTTTGCAACGACTTTCGCCAGTTTGCAACGCAAATGAACAAAAAGGTATATTAACACTGCCTAACTCTTGGATTGCAAATAGTAGATGATTAAACATCAGTACTTCACCCATTAATAGATAAACAAAAGAGAAAGTATGAGTTTCAGGCCTTACTACCTCCAATTTTGTGAGCCAAAGGGCTGTTTGTTAACTTCCTCAAGTACAAAAAGCTGTCAGTAGTAGATCCATTAAGGTTGTCTTCTGATATAAAATTACTTGCCACCCAAAAAATAATTTTCACATAAAAAGGGTCTGAAGTTTCTGCCAGAGTATTGATTGTGATTCATTAACAACTGAAGAACCTAAGTGAAAGTTATATTTTCAATTGATGAATTTGCTATCAGTTGTTGTTTCTGCCACTTGAAGTCTTCATCATTGCTACTTATTCAGTTCTAAAGTTTTCGGTGCTAAATTGTATTTTCTCAAATGTCCACAAGTCTCTCCATCACTTTCATGTTGAGAAAAAGAAGAAAAATAGAGAATCATACCAGAAGGTTATATTATTTGTCACAGGGCCTAGCTCCATCTGCATGGATTTGACGAAATAAATTTCCTTTTGCTATATTGTCTGTTACAAATTATATTCAGTTAAAAGTTGATATTCAAATCTTTTTCTATTTCTTTCATTCTCTAACATTTCTACCCTTCCAGCCCCACATAATGGTGTATTCTCATTCAACTTTGTCTGTGCTAATCTCTTAAAACTTAAGTAATCTTATTGTCACTATTTCTTAATCACTTCTCTTAACTAATCATAGATTTTTCTAAGCGTCCTTGTCCATTTCGAATAAAAAAAATACACTAAGTGGGGAAAAGGAACTGTCTTGTTCCACTCTGATTTTTGAGAAATTTTATTGTGACACAGCTTTACTTAATTAAGGATGATTGTAGAAAATATAAACCTGTTCATACAATGAAAAATAGAAATGAAATAATGGCACTAACTAGAAGACTACGCTTCCTAGCATACATGAGAAGCATGAATTAATTATCTATGAATTATTCACCATATGAAGAAGCCTCTTTCATTTTGAAAAAGAAATAATATAATGTTCACAGATTTTGCACGATTACAATAGTTGCTAGTTGCCATCCCCTCAATCAGGATGTCACTCTTAGTTCTGTTCAGTGAATAGAATGTTAATATAAAGAAAAATGTGCATAATCACCAAGGGCCTTGTGGCCTAGTGGTATCTCCTCTACCTCCCAAGGTGGATGGTGAGGATTCGAGTCCCCAAAGGGGTAAAGTGGGTGTGCGAGTGGCGTGCGTGTGTTTCTTGCCAATGAAAAAAAAACGTGCGTAATATTGCTTCTACCATGAAATTCTTAGCAAGATGTGTAGGCTCTAAATTAAGGTGTAACCAGAACACTAGGACTGCGTTAATTAGTACAAAACAATTTTGGTACCTTGAGTGCTTGATTTTTGAACCTCCATGTTTCCCACCAAGCTTTGGACAGGGGGTGCAGTGCAGAACAACTGAGAAGATAACTAGCACTTACTCGTGGCCAATATATGCCGAACTTTATTCTATTATATGTAATGGAACTGAGAAGGTATTACTAAAATATAGAACATATGGAGTAGGAAAGGATAACTACAGGATTCAGTGTGCTATTCTCAGCTCAGATTACGATACTTGCAAGATAATTATTTGTAGTTATCCAGCAGGATTCTCTTTTGAAGAGTTTGGTAGCTTCCACCCGAGCAAAAGCAAGGTCCTATGCTGCCATTTCTCATCAGAGGGACAGTTTTTAGCTAGTGCTGGGCACGGGAAGAAGGTTTGATGATAGCAATCTTCAGTGTTTTGTTTAAAGATTTTCTCAATGTTCTTCTCTTGAGCCGAGACTTAATTTCTTTTTTCTGTACCAGGTGTCAATTTTGAGCATGGACAGTTTTAATATCTTTAATACTGCAGAAGCACATTCCCATATCATCACAGATGTTCGATTTAAACCACATTCAACTGTGTTTGCTACATCTTCCTTTGATAGAACTGTACAAATATGGGATGCAGCCAGAGTAACTATTTTCATCTCTTCATTTCCTTCTGATGCTTTTGTCACTTTTTTCTTGAAAGATCTCCTCTTAAAGTTCTATTTTCTTGTTTGTCATAGAAGGTTCAGTTTCATTTCCGTTATCTGAGCAAACTGCCACTAAGGGCCTGTTTTTGGCGGAGTTTTACATTTTATTCTCCTCCTGGTCTTTTTATTCTTTTTTAAGCAACCATAGATAGATGCTTTATTCTATTTTCAATCATTTTTTCCTTGGTTAGATGAAATTTCAGTTGCTGCTGTTTCTTTGTTAATATTGTTCAAACTTGTGTTATTATGTTATCTGAACACTTCTTATCAACAATTGTGGTGGCTGTGACTTGTGAGCTTTACGTCTGTGGCAACACATTTCTGATACTTGTTTGGCACCTACAGGAGTTTCAATCTATAATTACTTGAAATATTTGCAGTCTACAAGTGTAAATCTTTTTGTCAAAACACGTTGTATTCTTTTGCTGTGAAAATCTATTATGATGTTTTTATTTTCTTCATTATTCGGCTACTGCTTCTCTAGGGACACACAAACATGGCCGGTGGATATAGACACCAAGTTCACTGTTACAACTTCACTAGCACATACATATAGCGTCCAGTGTCTAATTCTGGAAAGTTATGTCTGTCACATAGACACACCGTGTCAATCTTATGATGTGACCTCATGGCTGTCAATATATCAGTGGTCGAAACTGTAAAATTCATATATACCCGATGTTTCAAATGCCTACAAAAGTCCATGGTATTCATATGTGTTTATAGCCACTTCACCATTCTGCAGATGTAATATAACATTCTTCAGTAAAATTCTTACACATATATCAACATCAATTTTGTCATGGAATAAAGATGTGTATTCTCTCCCTTAGACTCCAATATATACTAGGAAGCAGAGTCTTTAGTTAATTCGTATTCTTACACATATAAAGGTACACAATATTTGAAAAATGAAAGTTAAAACAACACTCCAATATATACTGAAGGCATTGGCTGAATTTTCCTTTTAAGTACTTGGATTAAATGTTCTGAATGTTGGGGTTATTTGCTAGGTACTGTAAATTTTATGAAAAATTTTCAATAGATTTTTTTTTTCTTTGAAATTTAACTAATATTTACAATGTTCAACGTTCACACACACATAGATTAAAGGCAAATGAAAGATTACCCTTGAAGCCAACTACACCAGATTAAGTGCTGCTCTCAAGGAGGATAGAAGTGGCCTTTGAAAGATTGTTTTGTTTGCTTAGCAGTAGTTGAGGCTACAATGCAAAGCTTATTTCCTTTTCGCCTGGATCGCATGTTTGGTATGCACCCTTACTTCCAGAACAGGAATGATGTCCGCATTTGTCGATCCCAGTTATTAACTAAATAATGCTTAGTACATAAATATGTTACCAATAGAAAATTGAATTTTTATTAATACTACTAACAAGAAGCTTTGGAGAACCAAGAAAACCGAAAAATAATAGAATACTTACATAATAGTTGACATATAATAAAGTAATATATTAATTTTATTTTAATGCCAACCATTTAATATTGTAATAGGAATTAATAGAATATTTTTTTAATGGAAGTGTGAAGAAGAAGAAAAAGAAAAAGGAGAAGAAGAAAGGAAGAATACAAGGAAGGAAGGAGAAGAGAGAGAGAGAGAGAGAGAGAGGCTTGTTCATAAATTATAACAATTATAACAAGGCCCCAACACCTTATTACTTATTATACTGATTCCCAACACTCTCCTCAAGCTGTAGCATAGATATATACTAAGTTCTGCTAACTACAAAATTCAGAAAAATGAATACTTCTCAATGCCTTGGTATAACTTTCTCCATCTGAGCTTTTGATTTGACATAAGCCATCTCTTGACTCATGACTAAGTCCCTCACAGAATGGCAACATATTTAGATATATTTTGTGCTCATGAAACGCAGCGTTAGGGTATTACTAGCAATGTACATGGTGCCTTGTTTATCAAAAAAATTCTCATGGGTCTATCACTGCTCACTGTAGATACTATCTCATGTAAAACAGATTTTACCATATCACTGACATGTTGTTTGTGTGTGTGTTATGGCTGTGTACTGTGTCTCATTGCTCAATTTTGCCACAACATTTTTCTTCTACTCTTCCGGGTTCTTTAAATTACTTCCTTTAAGCAGACAATATCTTGATATAAATTGTCCATCCATTTAGTTTCTTCTCCCATTAGCATAGGTGGACCGACCACATCTAAATTCTTTGGGGGCTTAAGGGTAAATGCTCTGTGAGAAACCTCTTCAAATAACTCAGATGTAATCAAAAGAATGTGGAGAGATCAAATCCACTGCAAAGAATATGGAGATTGTCCTTTGAGAATAGAGGAAGGCATGCCATTAATAAGTTAACAAGCAGTTAAACATCTCTCCAAAATTTCCTTAAAGCATGCATAAGGATCATTTAGGTTTGAGATAGCTTGCCTAAATGCCATTTTTACGTTTTACAGTGCCATTTTGTTGAGGGGTATTAACACAAGATGTTTGGTGAAGGGTACTAGGTGTCCCAAAAATCCGCAATTTCTCATCTAGTATTTTTCATGGCACTATGATCGTCAAAATAAAAATACACACATCCAAATTGAACTTTAATTCCTTTATAAAATAACCGGAGATAGAAAGAAACTCAGTGAGATTTTACATTAAAAATAGCCAAGAATTTCTTGAATTGGATCCCACGCCAGGAATGGCACAAGTCATGATAATTCCTCTTTGCTTCCAAAAACATTTCTAAGGCATTACACTTGACAGCAATATGTTCTTTCACTTTCTCCATAATATCTGATACATTTTTTTTTCTTGTGTGGAACCTCTCCTGATTGGGGGTAACACATACCGTCCTTTTGCAGGGTAAGATAATGCTATTAGGTTCCTTTTTTGCTGGTATTTCAGGATTCACTTTGTTTACTGTCTTGTACCAATAAAGGAAAGAGATTTTTTTGTTTTTGTAGAAACACATTTATGTTTTTATGTATTTAGGATGTTACTGTTTTAGAAGAGGACAGAGGTCTCCTTCTTTCAAACCCTAGTGTTCACAGAGATAAAAAGAGTATTAATTACTAATGCTGAATAACCTACAAAAGACATAATTCTAGGTAGATCTGAATAGTGAAAGATCTGTGTAGATCTCAAGTAGTTGGATTTCTGGCTTTGTTGAATATATGTGCTTTGTTGGCTTTGTGGAGTATATATCCTTTGTTGGCTTTGTTGAGTGTATATGTTTTGTTGTAATGTCTTTGGAAATGCAAACACATTGGACAAAATCTAAAAGGGTGGTTGATGAGATACTTACTATTGGTGTTTTTTATTCTAAATATGGATTTATCTTTTGGGATATGCATCCTTCTACCTCCCTCCCTCCCTCCCTCTCTTCAATTTATTGGAGATAATATATGCTTATTTATTCCATTTCCATGATACTGTAGCCAAGCAAATTGCCAGTTATGCTTCTTGGGCATGGTGAACAAGTAATGTCATTGGATTTCCACCCAAATAATTTGGATCTCCTCTGTTCTTGTGATAGTAATAATGAGATTCGGCTGTGGAATGTTCAACAAAGTGTTTGCACACGCATCTCTAAGGTCAGTATATATGATTATAGAAAACCATTTGAGTACTTCTTGTGATTTTGTTATCGCAACTCATTTCCATAATATTGTCAAATTTTGGTGATGCCTGATCAATGCTAGTAATATTAATGGAGATGGCCCAGATTTTTTGCTTAATGAAGGGCCTTATGTATTGATCCCTCTACATTTTTTTTTCTCCTAGTTGATACTCACCCCCCCTCCCCCTCAAGGAATTGAGCCCTCTGCATTTGCTTTTTTTTTTTTTTTTTTGATAAGTGAGCCCTCTACATTTGCTTCTCGAAAGCTAGTTTTTGTGTTCTTGGAAATTGGTTTTGTTATGAGTTGGAATGCATTCAAAGGCACTATTGTAATCAACAATTCAACATCAAGATACTATGTTTTTCAACTTGATGCCTAGCTTTAATGTACAGCTTTATTCAACAGATTGAATATATTTTTAATCTTTTCGTCTCACAATCCTACACTTCATAACATGGTATTTTTCAGTCCTACATTTCCATGAATAATTTGTAGTTATGCTGACAAAAATTTCCATCTTATCCTTCTCCTTTGAAGATGGTATTTGGTATTCTGTGTTCTCCTGCAAGCCTTACATGGATCTCCTTTCCAAATTACTGCAGGGAGCTACAAGACAAGTTAGATTTCAGCCTAGAATTGGCAACCTTTTGGCTGCCGCTGCAGGAAATGGTATCAGTTTAATTGATGTTGAGACTAACAACCTCCAGTACTACTTGGAGGTATGCCTGGTGAAGTGGTGTTACACTTTGCATTTCAGATGGAATGATTATACTTCCTAACATGTGTTGAGATGCCGAATTCTTTGAATGCTAATTATTAATAGCTTAGAGTGAATTTTTTAAGTTCTCTTTTATTTTCTAGGGACATGTCAAAGAAGTCCGCTCTGTCTGCTGGGATACAAGCGGGAAGTACATTGCCTCTGTCAGTGAGGATAGTGCAAGAGTGTGGTCAACTGTATTGGGTGGAAAATGCATACATGAATTTCATTCTAATGGCAATAAGTTTGAATCATGCTCGTTCCATCCTGGATACTCTCTACTAGTTGTTATTGGTTGTTACCAGGTACTTACTGTTCTTTAACATAATCAGTGTACTTTTTGTCCTAATAATAAGCTGGGGTTATACTTTTGTCGATCTTGTTAGAGAGGTTTTTTTTTTTAAGAAGAATATTGTAGCCTTAGGGACATCAGGGAACTCAATTTTTTTTATTCACGAGATTAGTGTGCATGAGGTAAGAATGTATAAGATGAAAACAGGAAGGGATTTAGGATCATATGGTAATATTATTAAAATTTGTAAAGTATTTAGGTGATGATGGCGTGTCTTGGACGACAATTATCCAATAGGATAACAATAATAAAAAATGAATGATGAATGGCACAAATGTATTTTAGTATCTAAACATAAAAAAAAAGAAGGGAATATTCAATGTTAATGGGTCATGCTATCATACTGTAGAAGACATAAAACTACAGTTGCTGATAATTCATACGGATTTACGGCAGGCAAGTCAATAGTGGAAGTTACTAAGGAGACCAAACGAAATGATTTAGAGAGTTAGAGGATCTATATATATCTTTTATGAATTTGGAGAAATTCTATGATGGGATTCTTAAAGATATGATATGGTGAGCTTTAGAAAAAAAAAAAAAAAGCAGTGACAACTAGATATGCTAAAAGACATATATATGATGGAATAATTGCCAAAATCAGAAAATTGTGAGTAAGCGAATTTCCAATAATTGTAAACTTATATTATGGCTCTACATTAATGCAATATCTTCTTACAATAATTATGAATGAACTACCAAAATACAATCAAGATGAGTTCCAATAGGTATGTGCACGGGTTCGAGCGTGACGGGAGGATCTGCTACAAATACGTTTGAGTTAATTGAAGCAACAAGGAAATTTTCCATGAACTTTCTTTACATGAACTTGTTTATAAAAACCAAGTAAAGCCTGAACAAATCCGGGTAGGAAATAGTTTTCAGTATTTTCTGTCAGTATGAAAAAAATGATATCGCCTACTGTAGTTCTATCTGTATCCCATCTCTTGACCTACTTGTATTTACATTAGCAATTTTTTGCTTCAATTTATCATGAATATGGATCTTCTTTTGCTTAAATACTTTTATGAAAGGTCTGTGTTCCTACAAAAAGTTTTACCCGAAAAGCATCTTTTAAAGTCTTATTTTGATGAGGTGGTACAAAAGAACCCTAAAGTTCAAGGGTCACACTTGCAAGGGTCACACTTGCAATCTAATGCTAGTAAGTAGGGACAAGATTTTATCAATTGATGCCTGCTGCCTGCATTTTTCCAGCTTTATTAAGTGTTATGGTTTATGTACATAATGATGTTTTCTGGTTTTATGGTGTAGTGGAATCTTACTGTATGAGTGTTCTTGCAGTCAATTATATTGTGGAATCCAACTGAGAGCAATAAAACTATGACAGTTGCTGCACACAATGGTATAATCGCTGCATTGGCAAATTCTAATGCGACTGAATATATCGCCTCAGCAAGTCATGACCAACATGTGAAGTTGTGGAAATGAGACCTCTTTCTCTCGCGTGTGTACATATGGAAGATTTGGCATTTGATGAGGTTTTTTGAGTTGGGTTACATTTTATTGGGTTTGGGGTACAAGACAAAATGAATAATGCTGCTTGAAGTTGCATCACCGGGAATAAAGCCATAGCTATGATGATCGCACCTTCTTTTGTTATTGAGGAAACAGGTATGCATGATACATGGTTTATAGTCATCAAATCTTTATAGGCAGATGTAAACATATAAAATAAATTCGGATTATTGGGCACTGCTCTCTCTCTTTCTCAGCAACTAGAATTTTGGAGACAGGCCCTTCAGCGATTTATTGCTGGTCTGAGTCTGTTTGTCAATTATATAAATTTGGATCTTTTTTTGGCAACTATACTTCTGTTTGACTTGAGATTTTCCAAGTCTTGTTTTTAGAATAATTTTGATTAGACTTTTTTGTTCTTCATGCCTCTAATTAAGATATATGACTTGTTCGAAGAAAATTGATATACTTGGTGCTAATGTTGGCACAACTATGATATTTATGAAGTGTTACTCTGATGAGAGGTACCATGGGACTACTTTTCAAGTGTATGATGGAGGCTGTGCCTTCAGTTATTATCTCTCTTTTTGTCAACAGAGGCTCTTTGCAGTGTTGGATGAGGCTGCTATCATTCTGATTATAACATCAGTAAGTATCAAGTTAAAAGAGTTTGTATGATTTAGAATGTGAATTGTACGTAGAAAGCAGAACTCCGAAATGAAATGAGGAATGCTTCTCATCGGTTCAAGAATGTGTGGGGGCGGAAATAGGTTACCTATTTTGAAACACCAATACTATTTTCAACAATCTAGTTTCACCGAACACCAGATGGAGTCTAAGATAGCGATTGACGAAATTAGCATGTAGTTAGCAGTAGAAGTAGAACACAGAGAGTCCCTAGGTGTTGGTAGTTAGTTGAGTTCATTCCCTCTGCTGGTACAGTGGAATGATCTGCTTACTCTTACCATTGCATAAGTGATGCTCATGAAGAACTCAGTTTATGTTTGCGGAAAAACAGGCTTTTGCCTTTTGGCAGTGCTTAGCCAGTGACAAATTCTCCACGCATCTTTAGTATGGTTGATCATACTTAAAATTCATCTCTTGAAATTCGTCACATTGCCCCCATACTGCCATGCCCAAGAGAACTTTGAGAGTGGGCATAATACTTCCAAGGTTGATTTATTAAAAATCCTCTGTTAAGGCACCTCCTTTTCCAGTCACCTCCAGTTTGGCCACCGACGACGTTCTTTCACTATTCACAATCACAGACATAGAGGGAAGAAGTTGGGAGATAAATGTTCTATTTAGAAAGTTGGAGAGAACTGCAAAATCTTCATCAAAAAATTAAAGAGAAGATTGATCTTCATAAGCACCAGTTACCATTGAGCACCACTCCAGCAACCTTTCTAAGGAAGGAATTAAAGAGTATTTCGTTAGGCTATAAAAAATTAGTAATAAAAACACACACACACATACACGCGCGCGCACAAGATACACCTAGAGGTGGCAATTCGTGTTTGTGAGTAGTGCCAATGTAAGAGGATTATACTAAATAGGTAAAATCAAATCCAACCCATTTAATAATCATGTCAATAATCGTCAACACTAACCCAACCCATTCATTAAATAGGTAAACGTGTTAACCCATTTAATGACCTGTTTATCAAAACGAGACATTTAATATTTAATCAAATAGTAAATAATTGAAAAAAATTGTCATAATTAACTCAAATATTCAAAATAAAAAGAAAAATCGTAAGGCAATAAGACATAGACGAGGTTTATGCTGAAATGACTTAAAATCCATCCATAGTAATTGGATTTAAACAGGTAACATATTACATATGTTATATTTACGATTATAACATGTTGAGTTAAATGGGTCATAAACGGGATTACACAAGTTGAATCCCTCAACCCTAACTCGACACGGTTAAGTAAACGGGTTAATCGTGTTGACTTTTTATGACTCAAATCATTTTATATCAAACCCAAACTTTTTAAACTCGTGTCGTGTCGTAATTTGCCACCCACCCCCAACACACCCCACCTGTAATCGATTAAAAACATGCTTAAAAATTCTCTAAAAAGTTGCAATAACTTTCTGATTTATTAAAGTATTGGCTACCACCATTCTATCATCCTATTTTCAGAGCATATACATTCATGTATATGTATATATAGGCGATGCCATTGGTACCAGTTCGGGACTCAAAGCAATCACTTTGTTATTTCCAAAGGTTAGGTCAATCTCAAGTCTTCCTTACCCAAAATCCTGTTGTGGTGGACCAGAACGGGGTAATGTCACTTTTTTTCATGGACTGGATTCATTTCTGAATTGGTTGTATTTTATCTCTGAACTTTTGCAATTTAGAGCGTCTGTAACTGGTAAAAAATGTAGTGAATGAGTGGTTTGTTATGTTCTCTTAAATTCATTTTAATAGCGTTTGCCATGCCCTCTCCATGTGTCGTGCCATTCCCGGAAACTTTTCCCATAGTCCAGTGGCGGATTATGAGGTGCTCTACTATACCCCGCACTACCATTGTTGACAATACCTAAAGAATTTTAATTTTGACCCAATGATTAATGTATGGTATATAAACAGTAAGTCGGATTTGAACAAAATGTGCCCATATTAGTGCAGCTTTTGGATTTGTGCTCTCGTTGAGACAGGTGATTAGAGGTACAAAAACAAAGTGAGAGAGAGGTGATTAGTAGTCCCATGGTGGTCTACCACTACCAATGATACAATTTGACAACTAAAAGATGTAATACAACATGTTCTCCTCAGATAATTAGAAACACAGTGATGTTTTTCTGAACAGAAATTTGGACAGTTGAACGAAAAATGACAAGGCAAGAAATTGTGAATGAGATTAAATGGGTAAATTACAAAAAGACGAGGATCGCGACTTAACAGTGAGATGAGCCTGTATCATGGTTCCTAATTCAGTGATTGTCCCTTAGAACAATGACATTTTCCCATCACTTCCAGAGTTCCTCCATTGGAATCCCACGCTCCTGAGCAACTTCACTAAATTGCCTCATTTTCTGCACTGCAACGACTGTGGCTCTCGCATTGTTGAGGGCATTGTTACTCCCAAGCTGTTTCCCCAAAGCATTCTCAACTCCTGCCAGTTCCAGAACAATCCTAACCGCACCTCCCGCAATGACACCAGTTCCGGGGGAAGCAGGTCTAAGCATCACCTTTGCTGCTCCATAATCACCGTCAGATCTGTCATTTATTTGCTCAGAGTTAATGACCGCAAATTTGCATGAAATCAGTCGATAAAATTTTAGAGTTTCAAACTATGTTGTGTGACGTCTGAGAATCATATGTAGGCCATCTATCATACAACAAAGTAATCAGAGGTAAAGGGTTTTTTTGCATAAGTAAGAAGCTCCACTGGGATATATTTGGTTTTGGAATAAGGGATTGAAATTGTCTCACAAATGAATTGCTAACTTTTCAAATAAATAGAAGCTTCCTTTATATTTATCCGAAGAGAGAAAATTTTGAAATAGGCAAGGTGTAGATAAGCACCAAAAAGATCCCGGTAGAAGGTTTCTTTTGCTACATATCATGCTAAAGCATTATTGTGAAACAAAGGGTAAATTTTTTCTCTCCCATCAGAGAGACACTGAAAAACAAATAACTGTTAAAACCCCAAGACATAGTCCACATCCAAGGGTTCTTACAATATCCACCATCAGAAATGTGTGAAATAACAAAGAAAATAAATATAAATTAGGGGTACACAAATGAACTGTTAACCTTTGAACCAAATCAGATCCAATCCGATCCATATGGTTTTCTAAATGGTTGACAGTTCAGTCCCGGCTCCAAAAATAGGAGAACCATTGCCACTGGCTCAGTCTCTCTCTCACACACACACAAACACAAAACAGAGAAAATGAATCACGATTAGCAACACAAATTTTTGGGTCTGCCTTTACATTGTAACAACAAGAAAAAACAAAGTTACAGGTAGAAGTAGAAGATGACGAGAGGTGTCCTGTATATAAACTATATATGTACAAATATACTTTGTTTTTTCTGGTTATTGATGCAATATAGATGCTATGCCTTCTGCACTGCAATAGCAATTTTGCATATTTTTTAAAAATTTGCAAACTTCCAAACTGAACCTCTCCAAACTGTCGTCCTGCGTTTTGGATTGGTTCACTTTAGACAGTTTTCTTAATTTGGTTCAGTTCCACTCCAATTTTCATGGAACCATTAGAACTGGATTGGTTCCATCTTATCTTTAAACTGATCTAATATGAACCATGTGCACCCCTAATATAAACAAGTTATTTCAAATCATATATGATTATAAACTTTATTAAATACCTTTCTAAAATAGAAGAAGTCTTACGCGCATGTTTCTGAGAGAGAGATCATAATTACATATATAATCTTCCACTAAGCTTCCTTCTCTAATTAAATAAAAAATCAGAATTTACGCTTCCCACAATATGCTTCAATTTCCATTTTTTTCCTCTGTGCTAGACAAAATACTTTGGTACTTCAGTGACCAAAGTTCAGTTAACCATTGTTTAACAATAGATGATAATTTGTCCTCTAACTTCCTCAAATATTCCCAATGTTGTAGATCAAAACTTATATATTAACAAAGTTGGAGACCAAAACAGAAGATTAAAACGCTAAATCATGGTACATCCAGAAATCCACCTACCTTACCGGAATCCTTTTGAAATTATATTTCTCACCAGAAGCTGCGTAAGTGCTTTCATCTTGTGGCTCCAAAGTGTACCTAATAATCTTCCAATGGCGGATATCTTGTGGATGAGAATACTTGAGGCAAATATTGGGGCTGGTTACTTATTAAAGAAAAACTAAAATTTGGGACCCATTGCAGAGAGTGGACCTCAAAGGAGTTAAGGAAGGATGGAGAGAACTTTCTAGGTTTCTTAGCTCTGTGATGGAAGATAGGCACTCTCTCAAATTTTGGCATGATATTTGGTGTGGAGATGCCTCCTTGAAGACATCATCATTCTCAGATCCCTTTTGAAAATCTTCAGTTATACGGACAGTACTGTTGGATTATGTTAAATCTACGGAGGTGAAGTGATTTGGAAGCCTCAGTCTTTTAGAACCTTGCAGGATTGAGAGTTGGTGTGCATTTACAAATCCTTGCATGATTTATTACGTGGGGCAGGGAGGATTCCTAGAGGTGGAAATTTACTATGAATGGTCAGATTGCATGTAGATCATACTACAAAGCCATTTATGGAGGAGAGAGGATTGCATTACCATGGAAATACATCCGAAACCTTAAATGTCCTCCAATGTGTAATTTCTTTATTTCATTTGTGAAATCTTGATGTTGGATTATCTGGGGCAAAGAGATAAGATACTCCCTAATTGGTGTTTTATATGCAATAAGGCAGAAGTTTGTTGCATTATGCTAGGGATGGTCAGGTAGCTGCTAGCTAGTTGGATTAGACAAAGGGGTTGCTTGGCAGACAGCACCTTTTTGTCTCATGTGGAGTCTTTGGAAGGAAGGAATAAGCCTAGAATTAAGAATGTGGAATGTGGAAATACTGCTACATAAGTTGAAATATTCAATGTTGAATTCTTCAAAGTTTTGGCTCACTGGATCTTTTTGAAGTCACTACAATTTATTTGAACTTAAAGACTTTAAAGTTGCATAGAGGGAGCTTAAATATTTTTCCTACGTACTTCGCATGTGCATGGATTCCCCTGTTTTTTAGTGCATCTGTTCATAGTACAACTTTATCTTTTTACTTCAAAGGGGAAAAGAAAAGACGGAAAAAGAAGAAAAAGCGGAGGGGGAGAACTGTAAGAACTAGATGCTAATGTTCTGTGCAGGTTCACGTCATTTATTCTAAAGCAGGATCATCCAAGCCTTCAAGAGCACATGGATTAAGACAACATTCGTATCTACAATAGGGTTCTATTAAAGAAAAGAAATAGGATACTCGAAAGCATCTAAGTGACTGGCCTACAACTGACCCTAATGTTCCATACCCTATATTTTAGAGGCACATAAAACCAAAAGCCATAACTTAGGGCCATCGTCCATTTTGACCCTGTTAATTGAGGGTGCTGGGTCACCAAATATAGAGCTAACCTTTAGCATTATTTGTACAAAAGCCATAATTTCTATAACTTAAACAAAATGTTGATCTTGGCATCTGTGGAACCTATACGGACAACTTAAAACAGGACAGGAAGCAAATCAGTCATTGCAAAGCAAACCTGATTGGGCATTTTAAATATTCCAATCTCTCATGCACCCTAATGATATCCTATTTTAGATACTAAGATTATTTCCTAGGACATCCTTTAATGTTGCAAAAGTACCTTGAACTTCTTCAAATGTGTAACAAACTTGGAATGATTCTAGGATCGAAGAATTTGAAATGACTGGTTTAAATTCAACTATGAAATGAGTATAGCTTAAATTTAGATTTAATAATTTAGTTAAGTTTTAACAACATGCCGTAGATTGTTTTGAGAGCCTCATATGCATGGGTTTCAAACAAAGGTGCACTCACATATTTGAAATCCGTGCTAGCAAATATCCTAGTTAAGAACTACAAAGAGTGTAATAAAATACATCTCCTATGCCTATAGTCTAACATTCCCTTGGGCTTCCAAATCCAACTTCATTAGCCACTCTTTTATTTAAACTCAAATCTCATCAATTCAAATCCATTCATCATCCAAACTACCACAGTAGTATCATACAAATTACGGCCCTTTAATTTACTCTCCATCATTGCAATGTTAATCTAAGTTCCTTAAAAATAATCTACAGGACCATCCAAACTCAGTACATTTAAAATGAGGACTCAAGTCTTACTGTAGCATCAACGTGAAACACCACAAATAAAGAAATGGGAAAAACTGCCAGTCCTTCAAAGAACCCATCAGTCTTTCTGACATAACACTCAAAAGCATACAATGTGCCAACACGAAACCTAAGGCCCTCATGTTTGCACAAGTATGTCTAAACATAAGAGCTTTCTATGCAGTATAAAAGTAAAGAATATGGATCCAGTGTTACATTATGGTATAAACTTTAATTTACTCTCTATCGCTGCAATGTTCATCCAAGTTTCTTAATATAATCTACAGGACCATCCAAAACTCTTTAAATTTAAAATGAGGACTCAATTCTTACTCTAGCATCAATATGAAACACCACAAATAAAGAAATGGGAAAAAACTGCCAAATCGACCCATATTTCAGAAGTTCACTAATTCCATAATTTCAGAAATAAATCAGAGTGATAAATTAGCTTGTACCAGTAAATACTACTATAGTGTGCAATTATAAAATCACAGAGTTCTAATATGTATGCTGTTTAAACAACCTACTAAAGAATTCCAATTCAAACTAATTTCATTATATGCTGTATAAACATCCTACTAAAGAATTCCAATTCAAACTAATTGCATTATATGCTGTATAAACATTCTACTAAAGAATTCCAATTCAAACTAATTTCCTTATCATATATACTCAAAATTATAACACATTTTAAGCAAACCCAATACAAAACCAACAAATACCTGTGAGGAAAGGTCAAATATTTAGTCATGGGAACCCTAATAATATTCCGACGAGCATCAATGGCCGATTTCTGAACCGCGCCAATAACCTCTTTGGCCTTCCCAACCCCAACACCCACTTGACCCTGCTTGTCTCCCACAACCACAATTGCCCTAAAATGCAATTGCTTCCCACCTTTCACCACCTTAGTGACCCTTCTCACCTGAATCACCCTTTCCTCAAACCCATCTCTCACCTTCTCTCTCTTGGTCTTTCCCCCAAACCCAGTTGTTTTCTTGAACTTCGAGTCCATCACATATATGTCATTGCCCAACACAGTCTCTCCACTGTAAGCTGGACCGTAGATTTCCTCGTACGCGGCTGCGATTTCTTCTTCTGTCTCCGGTGGGCCGTCGTCGAAAGACGGTGGTGCGATGAAGTCTTCTGGGCGTTCTGGTGGGTCGAAGGTGAATTCGCCTTCTGGGTCGAGGTCTTCGAAGAAGATGGTATCGGAGTCGGTTGGATTGGCTTTGAGTGGCTTGAATTTGTTGGGTTTTGATAGGGCGGAGAGAGGATGAAAAAGGGGTGAGGATTTGGAGGCGGAGGCCTGGAGGGTGGTGGAGAGAGAATGTGTTGGGTTGAGGAGAGAGAAACGAGATGTGTGGACGGAGAGAGAGGAACATGTAGAGAGAGAAGTTGCAGAGGAGGCCATGGATGGTTGTGAAGAAGAGGAAAAAAAAAAAAAAAAAGTGATTATCAGTGTAGTGTTGTGTCTGGTCTTATCCAAAGTCCTCACTGTGTTGAGTTCTTCGAATTATGGAGCGAGGCCAGTGTTACCGATGATGTGGTGGAGTCTCACGTATCCGGTCCCAGTTGCACATTTGTTCTTTATTGTAAATTTTTATTTATTTTAGGATTAATTACAACAACAACCCTTGAGGTTTGATGTAATGACAGTGTTATATAAGTTGGGCTATTTTTTAACGATTACACCCCCTTAGTTTGATAAAGTTAACAAAGACATTCCAATGGTCCTGAACAATTATTTTTTTATTGTCCTTGACACATTCAATTACCAATTTATCCAATACAATTATTTTTTTTATAGACCAAAATACCCTACCATAGCCACCATCGCAACCACCACCCACCAGTCGCTATAATCAATACTTTTCCACCCCTTCTTCCTCTCTCTCCACCCGCCACTGCAACCTCTGCCACCACAACCAAAACCCATCAATTCAACACATGAAAAACCTACAAAAATCCAGCAATTAAACTCATGAAAAACCCACAAAAAAAATCCCAATTGCACAAACACACAGATTTATATATATAAATCTCTTCGATATATATATATATATATGTCGAACAGAAGAAGCTGTTGGCCTTTTCAATTGATGTGGACTGACGAGGATGCCATCGAGCCGTTGCACGAATCGCAAATCGTGAACCAAAAATCGTTGCTAGAATTGCGACTGATTCCTCAGTGCCCGCTCAAATTCTGATTTACCCGGCAACGGCCTCTGGCCAACAAAAACTCCAGCATACTCTCCGGCAACGGCCTCTGCCTGAACCCGCACCATCATCTAAAACCCACTACTGCCGCCTCCGTCTACGGTGTTGCCATCAAACGATTCGTGGAGCATAATCACCGGACTGAAAGGAGATCGATTTCCACCGTTCCTCCACTTCATCTCATGTTTGTTGGGTTTTGTGTGGCTTTGCAGTGGTGGGTGGAAAGAGATTGGGGAATTGGGTGTGGTAGCGTAGTGGGGGCGACGTTGGTGAAGGTGGTGGCGGCTAGCAACTCTGATGGTGATTTAAGAGGACGCTGCTATAGTTGGATTTCATCAGTGCTTAGGTGAAGAAGTTGTAATGGTGAGATGCTTTGGTGGACTGGAGGGATTTGTGATGATGTTGTGATTGCCATACTTGGGATTTCGATAAAGCTGAGCTCTTAACTTCTCTCTCAGCTTGCTTTTTGCTCTTAAGTACTCCTAACCCAGCCTCCTCTTTCCTGTACATATAAAAAAGATCTGCTATGTAGTCTCTTTAGGCCACCTGAACACATCACACCTTCGGCTTATATATATATATATATATATATGGGTAATAATGTATATATATAAGGGCAAATTTGAATTTTCATGAGTTCTGATATTTTATAATAAAAATGAATTGAAAATTTGAAGGGCAATTTTGTCTTTTCTAACGTTTTAAGGCCTTGTTTGGATCAAAATTATTGCAGGGGTGTCTTTGTCCAAAAAATAACTAAGTTATATATAACTGTCAATACATCAAACTTCAGGGGTGTCTTTGTAATTAACCCTTTATTTTATTAGTATTATTTTTTATCAGGTTTCTAAAAAGCTTCTGAATTCCTTTACTCCTTTTACTTTTTCTCCCTTTTTCTCTCTAAGTTTTTGCTTATTCATAGCCCGGAAGGTAAGATAGTGCATTTATCACCTCTTTATACATGTCAAGAATCCTTATAATCACATCTATACCAGGGTCTCAAATTGAACCGGAAAATTCTAGAATTAGATTGCAGAACACTCCAAAACAGAATACATAAAATATTTACACTTTATTAAGAATTTTAGAAAATTCTATAGAGGTGTATACCTTTCCATACAATGGTAACATGTTCGAGTTATTCGATCAGAAATTCCAAGGTGGAGGGGCCGTTCTATGCAAAATTCATGTACGTCAAATCTGCATATGTGGAGATGCTAGTGAAAGTTGATTCATTAGAGTTTGGTTGGTAGCCCAACTCTAGTTAAACATAACAAGGGTTCGTGCAATTTGCCCATTAATTTGTTAATCAAATTTATAACTCTAGTGTTGCTGTTAAAAAAATTGCTGTCTCAAGAAGAGCCACAGACATTGGATTAAAAAAGCTTCGAGATGAGAAGACGAAATCAAACCATTCGCTTATAAATTTTATCAATTGCATGATGAAAAGAGCACGGTACACCAAGATGGAATCATGCCAACTATGCTTACGAGTTGCCGAAGGTGGAATGGTTATGGAATAAAAGCATAGATAGATAACTTACTAGGAGAGCGAATATATTTGATTTGCCCATTTTTGCTAAATATTAATTTTACTGAAATTAAATTAAATTAATCAACCTATTAAGCAACAATAAAATGCAAGTAAAAGTAAAAATATGGTTTAAAGCATGACAACAGGTTTTTAATGAGGAAATTCTAATTAGAGAAAATCTTCCAATAGCCTAAAAAAAATCTCAAATCTTTCTCGAGCAAAACGATCCAATATAGTTGAAGTAAAGTACAATGCACTTGGACTCAAGTCCACACCCTTTTACTTTACCAAGAACCAATTGTTGAACGTCTTCAGTTTTGCATCTCTCCCATCCAAACACTCTCGACTTTAGGCTTACGCTATTGATCCTTGTAGAAGAATTGCTGATAGATGAACAAACATTCCACAAATGTTCTAACTCCTCCAAAATGTGATCTCTTCCTCATTTTCTTCAATCTGAATTTTTTAAGTTGGAAGAACAAATCTACTTTGATGACCAGTAGTAATAGATCTTCGATTCGAACAAAATTCCAATCAACAAGAAAACCACATCCTAAATCACTCGTGTGTATAATATTTGTATTCTCAAAGTGAAAAATAATCAATCTCTCAAAAATCTCTTAATGGCTTTCTTAGGGTTTTGAAAACTTGATTGCAAAATTCGTTATGATTTTGAGATCATTAAAAATATATATAGGTGTTTAGAGAGACATATAAACTTTTGGAAAACTTAGCAATTTCGTGCACAACCTTCTTTCTGTTTAAAAAAAAAAAAAAAAAAAAATGAGGGATTCAATTTTGACTTTTAAAAGACTTAGTCTTTTTGGTTCGAACAAACGCAACCGGTTTTATTTTAGAATGCAACCGATTGTGTTAATCATGAGAACTATTTTTCAATATGAGAAAAGTGCAACCAGTTCTGTTTCACCAGTTCTACTTTTATTAAAAGTTAAAAATGCACTTGTTTTAACTCAAAAACCCTAGCTACATAAACCATACAATGTAAAATATGTGTTCTCACTCTTTTAAATGTCTAAATGCATTCTCATTGATCAGGAGTAAGTTTGCACATGTTATTTCGCTTTTGACCTCGAGACTCAAAAAGTAAATTGAAAATTACATCTCGATCAGGCATGTTTCAAAATCGAAATACGCCAATAATAATATATACTTCACATTTTTGACATCAATATATGTATTTTTTTTCTTTCTTGACAACAAATTTACACGTGCTTTGAGTATTACAAATATTTATGCTCCATTGGTAGAAAGAAAGAAAGGGGTGGATGGAATATGAGAAGGAAGAAATAAACTTCCTTAATTTGGTAAAGATGAGGTAAAAAGAGAAGAGAAAGATAATGGGTGAGTCGTTATTTATCTTTTACAAATTTTCATTCCTTCACGTATGGATGAAAGACAAGAAAAACAAGACTATTTTTAAATTACAAAACTTGTATTATAATTAAGATTATCTTTTGCCAATATCTCTTAACAAACAAAATAAGTTATTCATATCTTCTTCTCTCACCTCCATCGAATTTTCAAAAGAATCTATTAAGATTTTACATACTTATGCTGTCCAAACACTATTTGATTTTTCTTACTTCTTTGACAACTTTACATTGAAAAAAAAAAAAGTGATTGTTATAAGTTACAGCAATACCAAAAGTGCTTTTAGGTCCTTTCTATTCAACCTATTTTTTCCCATCAAGTTACTTGCAATGTGGAAGGTTTCTCTTTGAAGTGCTTTTAGGTTATTAAAGTCATTTGGTAACGCCATGAAACTATGCCAAATTTTGCAAGTGCTTCACTTTTTCTGTAGGCATGCACCCAGACGTTAATTATTTTGCATCTACAATGATAAGCTACCACTTGAATTAGGTTATTTGATTAGTTCTTTATTTATTATTGTTCGTATTGTTTTATAAATACATTAAACATTGGAATCTTTTCAAATATGTTCTTTTTTCCTCTCCACGTAAAAGTATTTCTCTAAAGATTCGAAAGACCTATTTCTGCCACTTTCTGAATTGAGAATGTTATGGGTTTGAGAGTTTGAGTAAAGTTCAACCTAGATGTAGTCTTCTTTCTCATAGTGGATTTGATTAGCCCAAACTCCAAAGGCCATGGACTAGGTACGGTGGTTGCTCTATTGGGGTTTTCCACATAAATATTTGTGTCTTTTATTTACTCTACTTTTTACCTCGGGGTTTGGATTGTTTGATGATGATTTTGCATAAGCATGATTAATTAATTGGTTAAAATTGAACTGAAGTAAAAAATATCCAAGTGTTGAAAATACCTATCCAACCCCCTTCAAGGACTAATTGGGCCTAGTGTAGTCTAAACGTATTACAGCCTTGGGTAACGGTTTATGATTCTCGATTTGAATTCATTGTGCGTTGTCCTTTGGATCATCATTGATCAATGTTGAATTACATGACTCACAATGATTCAAGCCGATTCCTCACATTTCGGGATTTTAAAAAAAAAAACCTAAACGGACTTGAATTGTTTTTCTTTTTGACATTTAACGGTTTTTAATAATTAAGTTTCTTTTCTTATTTATTTTTAGAGTAAATTTGTTTCTAAACAATTTTTTTGTGTTGCAAGTTTTTTTATGTTGTTAGGATTTCTTTTACGTTCTTAGAGTTATAAATACATACACGTATTGATCAATCATTCAATTATTAATATATTATTAAATTATAATATATTTCTTTGTGAATAATCTCATCTAATTGCTTCTGATACATCAATTATATTGTTTTTATTCTATTAATTAC